TCATGACCTGAGCCGAAGGCAGACGCTTTACGACTGAGCCACCCAGGCGCCCCTCCTTTATTTTTTTTAAAGATTTTTATTTATGTATTTTTTTGAAGATTTTTTTTGAAGATTTATTTATATGACAGAGAGAAAGCACAAGCAGGGGGAACAGCAGGCAGAGGGAGAGGGAGAAGCAGACTCCCCACGGAGAATGGAGCACGATGCAGGGCTCAATCCCAGGACCCCGGGATCAGGACCTGAGCCGAAGGCAGATGCTTAACCGACTGAGCCACCCAGGCACCCCAAGATTTTTGTTTATTTATTTTAGAGAGCGTGAATCCATGCCTGCGTATGAGTTGGGGGAGGGGTAGAGGGAGAAAGAGAGAATCTCAAGTAAACTCCTTGCTGAGCACAGAGCCTGACCTGAGCTGAAATCAAGAGTTGGATGCTTAACCAACTGAGACTCTAAGGCATCTTCCTTTATTTTAATAACACTTTCTTTTCTTCAGCTTACTTTATTCTAAGAATGCAGTATACAATACATACAATATATAACATACATCTGTTAATCGACTGTTTATGTTATTGGTAAGGCTTCCCATCAAGAGGAGGCTATTCGTTCTAAATTTTGGGGAGTCAAAAGTTTATGTGGAGATGCCTGAGTGGCTCAGTTGGTTAAAGTGTCTGCCTTTGGCTTGGGTCATGATCCCGGGGTCCTGGGTTTGAGCCTCACATCGGGCTCCCTGCTCAGCAGAGAGCCTGCTTCTCCTTCTTCTTCTGCTGCTCCCCCTGCTTGAGCTCGCTCTCTCTCATACATAAATAAAATCTTAAAAGTCGTATACGTGGATTTTCAACTGCCTAGGAAAGGACAGGTCAGCACCGCCACGCCTCTTGGTTGTTCAAGGGTCAACTGACTTTTTATTATTAGGCAAAACAGACTTTAAGTTACAAAAGGTTACAAGAAACAAAGGACATTATATACTAATAAAAGGTTCAATCCAGCAAAAAGATAAAATATAAATATATGTATCTGCCATCAGAGCCCGAAGACATATAAAGCAAACACAAGAGCTGGATGCTTAAACTACTGAGCCACCCAGGTGCCCTAGGATTCTATTTTAAATGGTAGCTCTGGTAGCAACTGGAGAATGGAAAAGTGGGGGGAAAGCTGAAGGCATAACAGTTAAAAGGCTACTCTAATTGTTGAAGCCTAAACAATGGCAGTAATAATTGAAACAAGTTTTAAAGGTAGATTCCATGGGATCTGAGAAAAGATAAGACCTATAAAGACAGTGAGCAAGTGTCATCAATGATAATTCCCAGATTCCCAAACAGATGAACATAAATGTGGTGATGCAATTAATTTTGAGATGAGGATGACAGTATTGAGAATGTTTTCCACCTTTGTTACTAAAAAATTATTCCTGCTACTCATTTTGATTATCTTACAAGTTGTCTATCAGAATCTAACTAAAACTTCATGCTGTCTAAAGGTAGGCCTTTGGAAAGAATTGCTACCCTGTCAACTAATTTTCTAGCACATTATATGAAATTTCTTTAAAACCATTACAGGTTTTATAAAATATTATCCATACGTGTTTTAAATTCTCAAATAGACAAGCAACAAAAATTTTCTGGTTCACACTAGCTCACTTACAAACATTTTCTTACCATGATTGGCTTGCCCTGAAATGTTTTAACTTCTTCTCTTAAGTATTTAAAAGCCTGTTAACAAAGCAGAAAGAACTTTTATTAGCATTCAAACATTTTACTAAAGCCATCTTTATTCTATCAAGAGTTGGTATTAGCAACCATCTCCAAACTAAACAATAAAAAATTCTGAAGTCAATTCCATTATGTAGGTGATAAGGAATGAAAAAGTAAAAACACTCCAGTTGAAGTTCACACTTACTGTAGATTAATGCAGAAAAAAAAACGCACAAAAAACAGACCCCAAATTTCTCTACATATTTACAGTCTTCTAAGATGAAAAATTAAAAAAAAAAATCAGTGGGGTGCCTGGCTGGCTCAGTTGGTGGACTATGCAACTCTTGATCTCGGGGTCGTGACTTCGAGCCCCACACTGGGGTAGAGTTTACTTTAAAAATCAATCAATCAATTGGGGCGCCTGGGTGGCTCAGTCATTACACGTCTGCCTTCGGCTCAAGTCATGATCCCAGGGTCCTGGGATCGAGCCCCACATCGGGCTCCCTGCTCAGTGGGAAGCCTTCTTCTCCCTCTCCCACTCCCCCTGCTTGTGTTCCTGCTCTTGCTATCTCTGTCTAATAAATAAATAAAATCTTAAAAAAAAAAAAAATCAATCAGCGAGTGGTTTTAAAATGCTATTAGATATATTTTTGTTTTTGTTTCAATGGATTATTATTTCTCTTTAAGTTGGACATGACAACAAGAGTAAAATCATTAATGTCAAAATTCCAATAATCAGAAAGGAAGTTATATATTTATTGTGGGCCTAGTGTGTATATACTAGAAATACCAACTACTGAGTACGTGGTTCCCAATCTTTAAATTAATTTTAAAATTGTGTGTTAATTTTTTTATTGATAGGAAACAAACTTCTTTTTTTTTTTTAAGATTTTATTTATTTGACAGAGAGAGACACAG